CTGAAGCCCCCACTGCCCAAGAAACCACTGTCACCCTTTCCTCTGATTTATGATGTTTTGCTTCTTCCTCCAAAGAAAGGAGAACTGGATCAAAAGCTATTTTGATTCTGGCCAAAATATTTTTCAAATCTTCAGAGATCACTTTGAGGCCTTGCATCTATTTCCTGGCTGGATTGCTCTTCAGTGAGTCCAAATATATGGATACACTTCCCCTGTCCATGCAGCAGCCTCTGCAGTGTCTGGATGGTCCGTCTCCCTGAGTCACAATGTCTGCAGGCAGCTTAAGAAGGTATGTTTCTCTTGTGTACTGAATCTTAGTTCCGAAGTGATTCAGTTGATTGAAGTGCCCAATCCATCACTGAAGAGTTTACTTTTCTCTGTAAGTTATTTGCTGTTTCTTCAGCATATGCTTTGTAGGATTTTAGAGTGTTGCATACTTAAATTATATACCAGTTTGGTATTTAAATCAGTGAATTTAAATTAATGCATAATGATTACTTTCAATTTGCCTTCACTTAACGAAGATGACATAATTAATCATGTTTGTTTGATCAGGTCATGCAAATGAATTTATACATTTACATTAGGCCTCTAGGAGATGAATTAATTCTCTCGAGCTTTTTAAACCATTAGAAGAGGTTGTCCATTCTGTGGTTAAGTCAGTGGTCCCTCCCCTCTTTCTCCTCTCCTCAACCTTCCCTTTCTTTTTATTCCTTTTTCGCATCCCTCTCTCTTTATCCCATCTCTACTCTCTTTCCCTCCCTTTCTTCTATTGCATGCTTATCAGGCAGCTGCCACTATGCTAAATACCAGATATAAAATATTAAATAACTTAGAAGCTGATATGGCTTGCCCTCCCTACCAGGGACCAATTAAACTTGCTCTCACTTCCTGTGCCCAAGGAACTTGCAATATTGGTTGGAGAGATATTGTGAAATTTGAAGGGGAACATAAGTTTAAAGAAAGGCCAGTAGGGTCTAAGCTATCAAGAAGCCGAGATGAATGAGGATTTTAGGCAACTAATCTGGACATTTTTATATATTCTATTTCTTCTCTGGAAATTCAGTTTTGGACTTTTTTGCATATTTTCCATGCTTTAGCATTCTCATGTTTCATTTTTGTATATTCAAGATATCCAATCTTGAGTATATAGCATATAATTATAAAAACTGTTTTATGTCTCAGTCTATCAGTTTTATTACCTGTGTAATATCTATGTTTGTTTCTATTGGTTGATTCTCCTCCTTATTATGAGTTATACGTATTTTCCTGCTTTTTTTAATGCCTCATTATTTTTGATTGAATGTCAGACATTAGCATTTCGCCTTCTGAGTGATGGGTAATTTTGTATTCCTTTAATTGTGAGCTTTGCACTGGGATAGAATCAGCTTAGTTGGGAACAGTTTAATCCTTTTAAGTCTTGCTTTTAAGCTTTGTTATGTGGGACCAGTTTAAGCCTAGGGCTAATTTTGCTCCACTACTGAGATATAAAAGTACCTGAGTCCTCTCTCCCATAGCCTGTCTACGAGGTTTTCCACTCTATGTGGAATTCTAACTATTCTCAGGCCTTTGTGAGCTCTGAGGACTGTGCCAACTTGTCCTTTCTGATGATTTTTTCCCAGCCTCTGATATTTACTTTACACAGACCAGTTCTCAGCAGATGATTCCAGGGGAGCCCATTGAAAATTTCCAGAGCCCTCTCTCCCTGCAACTCTCTGTAGCCCTTTGTGCTTGTGGCTCTTTCCTCTCCTTCTGGCAATCTCCTCTTTGTACTACCAGTATATCTTGCAAGTTCTGGACAACCTGTCCTGATTTCTTAACCTTATCTCCTCAGTTGAGGGAGTCCGTTGGACTCTGTTTGGGTCTTCCCTTGCTGTGGTATGGCCTGGAAACTGTTCAGACAGTATGTGGAGGCAGTTGCTGCATCATCTGGTTTGTTTACCTTATCTCAGGGATCGCTGCCTCGAGCTGAAATTGTTGTGTCATATACAATTTATGTTGTCCAAATGTTTTAGTTAAGACAGAGGTTATATTCAATTCTAGTTCTTCCATATTGACCATAAACCTATATATGTTTTTCCAATTCTCATGGCAATGAGTTATTACTATATCCATTTTTATAGATAAAAGAATTCAAGCTTATCTAAAATCAATAACACTCAAAATCACATATTTGGTACAAACAGACTCAGTAGGCAAACCCTGATGTATGTTGCCCAAAGAACAGTCTTGCCTATGAACTGAAAATAGCCTAAATGGAAAAAGAAAATGGAAAACATTCTGTTGGCAAAATCTTCAGTCTATCTAGGTTTTATTTTATTTTATTTTTCTTAATCATAGGAATAACTATATTTGAGGGAGTTATTTTTAGGAGCCTAGAATTCTGAGAAGCTAGTCTCAGGTCGTTATTTCTATTGGTTTAGAAAAATCAATATTTCTGAGTTACCGATTACTTATCTGTAAAGTAGAAACAAATGACCTGCTTTATTTATCTTACAGAATACCATGCCCTTCCTTTTGTGAGGGGGCCAATAGGTCAGTGCAGTCACAGCCAGGGACAAAGGGTGGAGGCAGGAAAGAGGAGACCGCCTGCCTGCGGAGGGGAGGAGGTATAGGACTGTGATGACAGGTGAGCGCCAAGTGTTGTGCTGAGGAAAACAAAACCAGGAATGGAATAATCACGCCTCAGGGCACTCAGAACTGGTTTTGGTTGAGGATACAATACGTGTCTTTTTTATGAAGGTGGAGGTATTAACTGCAAAGGTGTTTGGTTCTGTTTTTTCTTAAATTCAATAAACATGCTGGGGCCAACGCTGAATTGCTTATTACCAAGGTCACAAACTTGAATACAGTTACCCTTTATTCATATAATACCTAGGGTATTTTTTCAGGTTGACTATTTATGAAACTATGGCTTCACAGGAGCTCCAAATAAATAGAATACTTACGGTACCCCATACCAATGTTCAGCTCTATCTGTCTCCTATATAATTGTAGTGACAAAAATAGGTTTGTGAGGAGATAGGTAATCAAGCTCACCTAGCTATACCTGATGCTCAAGGCAAAACGTATTTTAACATGGCAGGAAGAATGATATCCAATCTCTGCCCCCCAAAAATTCAATTTAATATGTTGTACTAGGAGTCCTATTAAGAGGCATCGGCTAACTTGTAACAGGCTGAGAAGTCCCCAAACCCCAACTAAAATGGCTAAAGGGAGAAGTGGAGCAGGGTCATTGAGGGTCACTTTGCATATCTAAAGAACTTGGCCAGTATTTCGGTAATGCTAATAGCTGCACCTGCCACACTCAGAGCCAAGTAGGTGGGCATGACTCCAAGCCCTGATGTAGTGGAGGGGCTTGCTGTGCATGTATGAGAGAAGGAAGGTAGTACCTCTGTATTGCAGGGCCAGGCTTGCCGGAACTAAGAATGACAGCCAAGAAATGCAGAAGACACCAGTCTACTGTCGGGTGTAACCCTTTGTGGGAGGAGTGTAAATTGGGTTACGGAGGAGCAGGGCAAGGATTTAAACCTAAGCGTGGGGCAGCCATGCTCTCTTAACCGTATGGAGGTCTCTGCCATACCGCGTTGAAAGAAGCAGAAAAAGAGGATGTAGCAGCCATGTGGGGACTCTTGGCCATGTGGGTTGACAGGGTGTAGAAGGACCCCCCACTGGCCCACTATGAAGAGGGACCATGTGGTTTTGGATTGAGAGCAGGAGCCTAGCTGAGCACGGATGACTGGGAGAAGCTGGAACATTAAAACAAGAATCTGCCTAGCTAAGCAACAGACTTCTCTTTCTTTTCCTGAGAGACTTCTCTTTCTTTTCCTCTGACTGGCCTGGTTTGGCAAAGGGAGGCAGGACTGTGTGTGTTTGTGGATGTTCCTTCTATTTGTAAAGGAATGGGATTTAACATAAAAATTCTGCCATTATTGTAATCCTGTGTAACTTTTGAAAAAATAGTTCCTTTCCTTTTCATAAGGCTCTGGTACTAGGAATCACAATTTTTTTGGCGGCAGGCAATAGAGCCCAGTGGTTCTGTTTAAAACAGGTTTAGACATGAGCATGAGGAATAATTGTGCACATAAAGAAAAAGGTGAACAGGAGTGAATTATTTTTCATTTATGGGCAGGAAATAAGACAGGATGCATAAAAGGGTCTTACAGACATATATCAGATGCTAAGAAATGAACTAAGTGCAATGTATTTTGTTTTTGTGAGAACATAATTATAACTTTGACTTCTATAAAATTCTCTCAAAGAACAAGTGCATAATAAAAGAAAGGCCAGTTCCAACCAAGAAAAGTAGCTCCAGTCTGCCATCTATTTTAAGATATGCCTTCTTTCCTTCAAGGCTCATTCTAATTTCTGGTTTGCCTTTTAGTGTTTAGCTGATGCTGAAGTTTAACATGTACCTGAAGTATATATTTCAGAGGTAGTTAAGATGTGGAGGTATTAAACTATACAAATTAAAACTACTTAAATACATTCACATTTATTTTTAGAAAGTCCTGCATAAGTGTAAATTCTTTGAATGTGTCGATTCAAAAACCTAAACAGGCCAACAATGTGAAAGCTAAAATTAATGAATTGTTAAGTAAAGTTTTCTATTCTTTGATTTTTTTATATACTTTGGAAACCAAAAGATCAAAACACAACATTAAAAAAACAAAACAAAACAAACAAAAAAACTAAACTCACACCTAGTAATATTTAAGGAAAAAAATGAGATTTTGCAATGTTGTTGAAAACTGCTGTCTGTCCATTTTTCTTTTAATGTATAAGAAAATAAATGGTTGTGCAGGTTTATTGGAAAAGTATAATTTTTAAGCTGACACTGAAAAAAGATGCTTTTTATAATGTTGTGATTATAGATGGGTTTCTCTAAAGATTAAAACATGTGGATAAAGAGTATTAAGGAAGGTTCTCTTTAGTAAGATTGTCAAAGAATACAACATACATAATTAAAATAAAATCAGTGTGCTTTCCAGCAGTAATGGCCTTCATCTCCTTCAGAACAAGAGAAGAGGAAGCACAAGATGAAGTGCCTGGTGCAGAACTCTAGTTCTTCCTTCATAGATGTGAAATGGCTAGGATGCTCTAAAATCATCACCATCGTTAGCCATACACAGATGGTAGTTCTTTGCGTTGGCTGCTCCACTGTCCTCTGTGAGCCTGCAGGAGGCAAAGCAAGTTATTCTAAAGGATGCTCCTTTAGAAGGAAGCAGCACCCTGAATCAAGATTAAGGGGAAAACCATCCCACTAAACACATTTTGGATAAAAAGTAAATAAATAAATCAGTGTGTAAAATGGGATTGGAATTATCAAACTTTTGAAGAGGCAAATAGCTTGAACAAATCCTTTATCTGCCATTCCTCCATGGAGATTTCACAAAGAATGAAATTATCCATATGAGCAGAAAGAGCCTTAGGAACAAAGTAGAGATAATTACCTGATCCAGAAAAGACCTTAATATGTAGTTGACTCAATCTTCTTTGTTTGCAAATGAGCTAAAAGTTGGAGAAATCCTTAGTCAGAAGGAGAACTGCAGGAATATATATAGATTTAGAAATAGGAAAAATTAAGATTCAGGAATCAGTTAGTGTAGGAGCTGACATTTAAGAGTGTGGCAGGGCCTGGGAGAAAGGTCCATATGTGCCTGTGATATAATGGGGCTGCCAATGAGCCAAGCCCAAATATGAGTCTTGAAATCTGGCTAAAAAAGCTTGAAGTCTCCAAAAGGATAGATAGAACTGATCATAATAAACGTGCTGGTATATATGCTCTAAACAAGCCAAATAGGACAGGGTGAAATAAGTTAGAGATAAACAAAGATATTCAAGGCCCATGCTTAATTTATCTATAGCTTCATAATAAACCAGTCCAAAATTTAGTGCCTTACACCGGCAACAGTGATTTATTTTGCCCCAAATCTGCCATATAGGTAGGGTATGACAGGAAAGGCTCAGTTCTGTTCCATATGGTGTTTCAGCTGGGAAATTTGAATGCGGGTGGATAATTTACCACATTAGTGCTGCATGGGAGCTCAGTAAAGGAAACAGACCAAGAATTTCAGTCTATTTGAAATGGGATGCAAAGTGGGGGGTGGTTTCCCCAAAATAGTAAAACATATTTCCCACATATCATGATTGGGGAGTAGGGAAAGGGGATGATATGGTGACTAAGATACTTTTCATAACACTAGCAAGTTGATAGCTAGTCAATAGCCGAGCTACCACCCCAGGCAAAAGACAAATGTGACTTTCAAAAGGTATAGTGATTTGTGAAGTAGTAGCCCAAGGTAACTTATATAGCACCTATGAGAGAGGGAGGGAGGCGGAGGCTCTCATGTCATGGGGTACTCTTGCCCTGACCAAAGATAGCAGCTAAAAGAAGATAAAAGATACAAGGGAACCGGCAAAAGTAGCCATAAACAGGGGCCAGATATGAGGACATGAAAGAAGTTGTGGTCAGTATTTAAAATCAGGGTGGGCTGAAAGAGATGGACCTGGTCTGCCATGAGGGCTGAGGAAAGAGTGTAAGGAGAGAGCTGATGGAGCTCTCAGGGAACCTGTCAAACCAAGCACGGACTAGTGGGAGATGCCTGGAATGCTGAACTGTGGCCAGAAACGCTGAGACTGTAGACTTCTCCTCTGAGGGACATACAGAGAAGTCACTCTCTTGGGACATGTGCCTTCCCTGGACTCCACCATGATCCAGTGTAACACAGCATATGCTTTCCTGGACCGCTACAACATGGAGGCCGAGGACAATGTACCTCAGGTCCGGAAGGAGAGTGCTGGTGCAAGAGGATGGTGAACCTAAAACCCACGAATGGACCTTACGGAGAAGATGGAGAACTGTTTGCCCAACCAGTTTAAGGAAAGATAAGAATATGGGGAGCTTTAGGGCATTTTTTTTTGCATATAGCCTGGTGGGGAGCAAAGGGAGTACCAAGCCTGTGGGAGAATAAGGCTCAGAGAAGGAGAGCTACCAGCTCCCCAGAGGTTGGAATCTTGTAAATAAGAACCTGTGTCCTTCAACACTAATTGTTGGGTCATGCATCAAGGTGACATGTGGACTGGCCCGAGTTTGCTTGGTTACGCCGTTACATAAGGATTTCATCATGAGACTGCTAGGGCTTCTGTAAAGCATTGCAGATGGGTTCTAAGAGTGAGTGTTCATGAAAATAAGAGGGAAATTGAGTCTTATGTCATCAGCCAAAAACCTGGTAGACAGTCCCACCTTTGTTGTTCAAAACAGTTACAGAGCCTATGCAGAATTAAGGAAAGGGGGCATTAACTCTACTTCTCAGTAAGAGTTGGCCCTGTCTGCCGCAACTGAGGAACCATTGGAATGTCTTAGAACAGAGGAGTAATATTTTAGTAAATATATAGTGACCTGAGTACTATAAAGTATTTCTTGAGGTCCCAAATGGAGAATCTTCTTATGACTTAGGGGTTCATGGGAAGATGTGCAGTAAGTAGAACATCTGTAGAATGGACATGCAATGTTACCCATGTCCAGAGTTTAGAAAAGCTTGGGAGCCATAATGAGAGTGTTATTAACTTTCTGAATGGAATTATAATCACTTCATACTTAGTTGGTGCTACCACTGAGGATCTACCTTGGTCCAAAATTTGTATGATTTTATTATTCTTTGTAGCCCTTTTCTGTATTTACAGAATTTAGAAATATATATTCTTATAAACAATCTTCTTAAGTATAACATGTAGCAATAAACGAGAACAATAATAATCCCTGACTGCTGTGGTAGGTTGGGTGTAATCCCAGAAATAGAAAGGTCACTGGTTCAATCTCTGGTGAGGGCACATGCCTGGGTTGCAGGCCAGGCCCCCACTGCAAGTGGCAATCAATTAATGCCACTCTTATACATTGATGTTTCTCTCCCTTTCTCTCTCTCTTTCCTCTCTCCCTCTGTAAAAATAAATAAATAAAATATAGAAAAGAAAAAGAACAATAATGATACTTCCTTGACATGAAAGTCCTTTGTGATGATGAGAAAAAAATAGAGTACTAAATAGAAAAAAGGAATCTTAATAGCTAGAATTTTTATCATTAAGCCACAGTTACTAAATATTATTATAAGCCAGCACTCTCATATGACCTAAGCATATAAAAATGGAAAATCTTGGGTTTTGTCCAAAATCAATTTTTCTACAAGACTTAGAAAAATCTAATGACTACTATACAAGTGCAATAAAAGTATGTGCATAATGTATAAATGTGTGATTGAATATTTTGAAGGTTGGGGTTCAGGACAAGCAAATGTACACAGTGGGTGGTGAAAATTTTGATACAGTAATATTAAAGATGGAATATACCAGTATTCTAGTAGAGGAAAACATGCACAAGAAATATTTTGGGGAAAAAAATGTAGGAAAGTAAATCTAAGCAGTCTTTCATTTACTAAATAAAGTTTTCTTTAAATTGATTAATAAAAGTCATATAGTCAAAACCATTGTTCATATGTGTTTGATTATTCTCACTGGAGAAGAAAATGAAAGACACTTTCAAATCTTTATTTTATTCTTAGAGAGAAGAGGTAAGGAAATCCATACTGGTAAGAACTGACAGCAGTAAAGAATTCAATAAAATATATAATAGTTGCTGACAATGTTAAGCTATTAAAGAGACATGGTATGCAATGGGAGTTCAATTTTATTCCAGTTGACAGATAAATTCTGTTTTAAAAAATAGCTTTATGTGATCTGAAAGAAACGATCAGAGGAAAATTCTGAGTATGCAAACAACTGTAATAAATCATCTGCATATTTAGAAACACTGTATCAAATAATGCCAGTTTAAATATCTCATGAGGAGTGGAATTAAGATCGGCAGCAAGGATCTCAACTGAAATTTAAAGCAGAAGGTGACATAAAAGGCAGGCTAGTCAATGCCTGGTTCTTGTTGCTATGGAATGACAGAGGCACATCTTGGTGTGATAGCCAGGACACACGGCTAAGCATTCTCATCTAACTCTCCACTCTTATTAATTGTGTAAGAATAAAAAGAAATGCAGATTACTTGCAATTGCCTCTACTTTTGTCCAAACATATAAAAGTTACATGCTGTGACAAATGTTTTAGTTTCTAGGGTCATGTTAAAAGGAGACTTTTTCGTATCCATAATTTTTAAAGAATTAGGTATCTTTAGGAAAAAAAAAAACTATTTCTGGAAACACCCTCTAAATAATGCATGTGTATTTAAATTATACAGTTTAATTTACGTTTTCAAATTTTGTGTACAGTTTTATAATTTTTGTTTTTGAATTTTTAATTTTGTGACTTTAACATCGGTAGGGATTTGCACAATCATCATTGTCATCCGGACAGTTCCTTCATGCAAACACATTTCCTTCTGCTCACTACACACAGTCACGCATTGTCCCGCCCCTAAAGCTGAGAACCAATCCGTTCTCCATCACTAAAGTTTTGTCTTGCAGTTGTTGAAAATAAGCAGCATTATACAGCTTGTAACTTTGAGAGGTGAGCTTTTTAGACTAGCTTCTTTTATATAATATATTTCATGCCTATGAGATTCATCCAAATTGTTCTGTGTATCAATAATTTGTTCTTTTGTACTTATGAATGGTATTCCATAGTGTGTGCCATAGTTTACTACCCACTGAAGGATATTTGGATTTTTTTCTGGTTTTGTGGAATTATTAATACAGATATTATAAACATACATGTGCAGGTTTTCTTCATGAACACATTTTCACTTCTTAAGGACAAATACCTAGACATAGGGTTCTTAGGTCATTTGGCAAATATGTTTAGCTTAATGAGAAACTTCCCAAATCATTTTCCAGAGTAGCTGGAATTTGAATACATTATCTCCACATCCAAAGCCTCATCACATAATGTTATGCTTTTGGGTGATTAACTGTCAAATATATTTTAAATAATTCAAGTAGAGAAAAAAATAATCTATTATATTTACCCAGATATTTATCATATCTGTTGCTTGTTCTTTATTTCTCATGTTTCATGGTTTCTTTTGTTATCATTTTCCCTTCTTCTAAAAAAATGTTAGCTACTGTTTCTTTAAAGAATATGAGTAATATTTTCAGTGTTACTCTTTTTCTCCTCCTTCTGGGATTCTGATATGCAAATATTATTTATTTTGTTATTATCTCAGTTTCCTGAGGCTTATCCAATAAGTTTTTTATTTTGGTTAATTTGTTTTAATGGGTAATTGCCCTTGGTAGATTTAGGCCACAAGTGCCAAACTGCCTTTCAC